TCCTGTGACAGCAGTGGGTCAGGTTATCTAATACTGGCATTTCAGGAACAGTTGTGGCTCCGGGGTCTGGCGGGTGTGGGGTGGGGCCTCTGGAGAAGGCAGCTGGGATCCATGCCTGTGGTCACTCGGCCAAGTCTGCTGTGCAAACTGGGTGTCCTCAGATGTAGTGTGAGCTGTTGAGGGTCTTTCTGGAAAAGGTTTCTGGGGTCCTCCACAGATCTGGACGGTGGCAATGGAATGGCATTTGCCCTTTGGCTGATATACATGGCTCCTGCCTTTCTTATTTCTCTTTCTTTTCCAGATACGAATTCCCCCATCACCACAAGGACACCCTGCACTCAGCACCTTTTCCAGATGTTTATTCTTTGTGTGTTTATTCTCCTTTTTATGCTCCATGGGCTGCTGTTGTGTCGTAATTGTGTTCTGGAGAACTCTAAGGGCAAATTTTGTTCATAAAGAACTGCCTTAATTTTTTGTTGTTGGTGACAAAAGCTGGTGTCCTCGACCACATTGCTGACATCACTCACCAGATGTGTGTCTAGGTGTCCTGTGTGCTGAGCTACTCTGGAACAGAGCTCTCCATTCACGTTCTGTTTTCGTCTTGTATCATCCATGTTGTATGTAGTTGCCCTGCTAGGACTTTTGGGGAAGAGTCCTTCTGCGTGTATCACAGGATGCGTCTCTGTCCAGCCATGGCCAAGTGGGGTCACCGAGGGTGTGGTCCTAGTGCCTGGCAGTTGTGAAAGTGGTGCTGCCGGGACATTGTTCGGATCATTCCATGAGCCTGACTTTGCTCAGCCAGAGGGTTTGTGTCATTGCCAGTAGCCAGACCCGTTTCCCCTCTTCCTCTGGCAGCTTTGGCACTCCCGTGTCTCCTGTGGTTTCTAGCCCAGGAATAGCGCCCCCTCCCTGGGCTCCCATCTCACCTGCTCTCTCACCGCGCTTTCCTCAGTGCTCGTCATCGTCAGCCCTCACGTATGTGCTGTGAGATGTTGAAAGTTTCTGTATTGACCTTGGACAGCAGCTAGTGTTTGCATAGTAATGTTCGTTCATGCATGCTTCTCCCCAGCGCTGCTTCAGCAGCAGAGGAGGATATGCAGGAATCGGTGGCAATAGGAAATGCATTGTATGCTGTGCCTCTTTGTCGTGTCAGACCCATATCCTTCCCCTGGTGTGTTTTCACCATTTTCTGACCCTAGAAGCCTAGGAGCACGAAGTAGGCAGCCAGTCCGTCCACTGAACTTTCTTCCTTTGCAAAGCATTTCATATATAGATGTGTTCCTCCCCTCCCTTTAGTCAACATGGAATTCAAAAGCATTTCTTTGCGTTCAGGTTGCTGCTGTGGAGCCGACGATGTGGAAGCACCCCGTGAACAGAGGGTTTCTGTGGGAATCTCACAGGGGAAGAATCCCAAGGCAACCTCGTCTTCCCAGAAGAGACACCCCTGCGAGAGTTGCGGGCCGGTCTTGAGGGACATTTTCCACTTGGTTGAGCAGCAGGGGACACAGCACAGCCAGAAACTGCTGAGGTGTGGGGCGTGTGCAAAACGATTTTATTTCAGTGTAAACTGTCACCAGCTTAAGGAGCAGCACATGGGAGGGGAGCCCTTCAGAAGTCGTGTGGACAAGGCCTCATTCGTGACGAGCGGCAGCACCCACCTGTCAGGGAAGACCTTGACCTCTGAGCAGAATGAGAGGGACTTCCTGTCCAGCTTGGGACATCGGCAACCACAGCTCACTCATAAAGCGAAGGAGCCGAAGGAGGGCCCCCAGTGGGAAGCATCTTCACAGAACAGAATAAGTCTTGACCATCCAGGGAAATGCAAAAAGGCCTTTAACCCCAAACGCCTGCTTGTTCAGGACCAAGATGTCTATATTGCAAGAAAATGTTTTGTGTGCAGTGAATGTGGAAAAATATTCAGGTACAAATCCTCATTTGTTACTCATTGCCGAGTCCACACTGAAAAAAGTATTTACGTGCGTGACAAAGGTCGGAAAACCTTCAGTGGACGCTCAGCCCTCAGTCAGCATCGAAAAACGGATACAAGTCAGAGGCAGTCCGCGTGCAGCAAATGTGGGAAATCCCTCAGCCACAAGCCTGTCCTCGTTACTACCCAGGAACAACACGATGGCGAGAACAGTTACATGTGCAGTGAATGTGCACTACCGTTTAGTCCTAGTTCAGTGTCCATTGACTATCAGAAAGTTCAAGCGCAAGAAAAACCTTATAAGTGTAAGGACTGTGCAAAATCGTTTACCTCTCTTGCTGCCCTCAGTTATCATCAGAGCTCTCACACAGGAGAAAGACCTTACGGGTGCAGTGATTGTGGGAAATCTTTTATCTCTAGGTCTGACCTCCGTTATCATCAGAGGGTTCACACTGGAGAAAGGCCTCATGAGTGCAGTGAATGTGGGAAATCTTTTATCACCCGTACAGCTCTTCGTTATCATCAGAGAGTTCACACTGGAGAAAGGCCTTATGAATGTAGTGAATGTGGGAAGTCCTTTACCCGAAGAAATAACCTCCTTATACACCTTAGAGTTCATTCAGGGTACAGGCCTTATGAGTGTGGTGAATGTGGGAAATCTTTTACCTTTAGTTCTAGCCTCCGTTACCATCATAGAGTTCACACTGGAGAAAGGCCTTATGACTGCAGCGAGTGTGGGAAATCCTTTAACAATAGGTGGACACTTGTTAGACACCAGAGGATTCACACGGGAGAAAAGCCTTACGTTTGCAGCAATTGTGGCAAATCTTTTACTTGTAGTTCCACACTTCAGTATCATGAGCGAGGCCACCTTGGGAAAAGGCCTTATGAGTGCAGTGAATGTGGGAGATCTTTTACTACTAGCTCTGCCCTCCGTTATCATCAGAGTGTTCACACGGGAGAAAGGCCTTATGAGTGCAGTGAATGTGGGAAAACTTTTATCTCCAGATCTGACTTCCAGTATCATCAGAAAACTCACTCAGGAGAAAGGCCTTATGAGTGTAATGAATGTGGAAAATCCTTTATTCGAAGAAATAACCTCATTTTACACCAGAGAGTACACACGGGAGAAAGACCCTATGAGTGTAGTGAATGTGGGAAATCTTTTAACAATAAGTCAACACTCATTCAACACCGGAGAGTTCACACAGGAGAAAAACCTTATGTGTGCACTGAATGTGGAAAATCCTTTACTTCTAGCTCCACCCTCTCCTATCATCTGAGAACTCATGCGGGAAAAAGGCCTTATGAATGTAGTGAATGTGGGAAATCATTTACATCTAGTTCCACCCTCAATTACCATCAGAGAGTTCACACAGGAGAAAGGCCTTATGAGTGTAGTGAATGTGGGAAATGTTTTGCCAGTAGTGACACACTTTCTTATCACCAGAGAGTTCACACAGGAAAAAAGCCTTACAAATGCAGTCAGTGTGGAAAATCTTTTGCCTCTGGTTCCACCCTTCGTTATCATCAGAGAGTTCACACAGGAGAAAGGCCTTATGAGTGTAGTGAATGTGGGAAATGTTTTGCCAGTAGTGACACACTTTCTTATCACCAGAGAGTTCACACAGGAAAAAAGCCTTACAAATGCAGTCAGTGTGGAAAATCTTTTGCCTCTGGTTCCACCCTTCGTTATCATCAGAGAGTTCACACAGGAGAAAGGCCTTACGAGTGCAGTGAATGTGGGAAATCTTTTATCTGTAGTTCCAAACTTCGTTATCATCATCGAGTTCACACTGGTGAAAGGCCTTATGAGTGCAGTGAATGTGGGAAACTGTTTAGGGATAGTTCCCAATTCAGTCAACACCGGAGAGGTCACACTGGAGAAAGACCTTATGAGTGCAATGAATGTGGGAAACTTTTTATACGAAAATCGACGCTCTCTCAACATCAGAGAGTTCATGTGAGGGAAAGGCCTTAGAGGTGCTAGAGACGTGCAATTTTCTATTCAGTGTGCAAGCCCTGGAGGAAATTGTTTCAGAACTCATTTGTCTGAATTGAGACTCATACGTCTGAATATGTACAGTGGATAGATTCCCTGTAAGTTTCATTTATGAGAAGCCTGTGTAAATATGTTACACTCTCTGATTGGCTGGGGCTCTTCCTAGGCTTATGTGGCTAAAGTTCTTTAACCTTTCCCACTGGCATGTCCTTAGAATTTTTGCAACAGTCATGGCCTAATGTGTTCTGGGAAGCTGACCTCTGGTTTCATATATTGTAGAAATCTAGGAATAACCAAACCCTCAGTGGTCAGCTTTCCCTTTATGACTAATTTGGACATGGATTTCAGTGACTGTCCTGACTTCTGCTTCAAGCTTACAGAGAAATGACTACTGGCTCCAGGGATGTGTTGGTCTCACATGACACTTGTGATGGAATTTACCGGCTTCCAGTTCATGGATTTGGAAGTGCCTCTTGCTCATTGCTTTGCCTTGTGAAACAGTCGAGGCCTTATATTTTCTTTGTCGTTATTCCTCACCTGAGGGTATTTTTTCCGTTGGATTTTAGAGAAAGTGGAAGGGAAGGTGAGAGACAGAAACATCAGTGTAGGAGAGACAGATTGGATGGAATGACCCACACATATTCCAATCAGGTGCCAGGGACTAAACTTACAACCCAGGTACATGCCATTGACTAGGATCAACCAGAGATAATTCAGTATGTGGGGCCCATGCTCTAACCATGGAGTCATACCTGCAAGGGCGAAAAGACATCTTTAATATGGGAAACCAAAATCAGGGAATTATGCTCTCCTCTCTTTTTATGTCTAAAATGTAATTTGGGTAAACATAAAGTTAGGAAAACTTAGAGGTGATTTCTATTTAGTAAGTGCTAACATCCTGCATTTTGTATAATGCAGACAAAATCATCAACCAATTACTTCAACCAAATATATCCAATGATAGCCGGCCGAGTGGACAAAATTTCAATGGGTAAAAATGATATTGGATGAAAAACCTTGTAACACTTAAACTCATTATGCAATGTTCACAACACAAAAAAGACACTGATACTTCATAGCATCTGTGCCTAAAGCAGTCAAAAGTCTAAGCTCTGCCAGTGCAGCAGTGTGGCTAGAATCAAGGAGGATTTGATCTAATGCCTTTGGCTCCAACTACATATTTATTGCAAACAAAGGAGTACAAGTTAAGAACATCAATAAAGCCAGTCACACAAGTTTAATGGTTCACCATGCACATAAAAATTACGTATACACTCTACATCACGGTAGTCTGTGAAATATGTGATACCATTATGTTTTCAAACAATAATGTACATAATTTAAAAAAACATTTGTGGCCGAAACCGGTTTGGCTCAGTGGATAGAGCGTCGGCCTGAGGACTGAAAGGTCCCAGGTTCGATTCCGGTCAAGGGCATGTACCTGGGTTGCGGGCACATCCCCAGTAGGAGATGTGCAAGAGGCAGCTGATCGATGTATCTCTCTCATTGATGTTTCTAACTCTCTATCTCTCTCCCTTCCTCTCTGTAAAAAATCAATAAAATATATTTAAAAAAAAATAAAAAAACATTTGTGTTGCCCAAGCCGGTGTGGTACAGTGGTTTGAGCACTGCCCTATGCACCAGAAAGGTAGCAGGTTTGAGTCCAGGTCAAGGGCAGGTACCTGGGTTGCAGGTTCCATCCCCGGTCGCCAATGAGCCGTTTGGGGGAAGCAATCCCTGTGTCTATTGGTGATGGTCCTCTCTTTTTTCCCTCCTCCCTACCCTCCACTCTAAAAACCAATGGAAAAAATACCATCTGGTGAGGATTTGTTTTTATTAAGAGAAATACTAAAGCAGTGTATGCCAGGAGTAGAAAAATGTCAAAACATTTCCCAGAAATTATAAAAGCCTTCCTCCATTGTGGGTCGATTCACTGCCCTGGTCACTTGCACCTGGCAATGATATAACTCTTACAATTCAACAAAGGGAAGATAATCCAATTAAAAAAATGGGCAAGGAACCTAAATAGACATTTATCCCAAGATGATGTACAGATGACCAATATCCTATATAGTAAAAAGCTAATATGCAAATAGACTGGGTGGCAGAACAACGGGTCACTATGATGGGAGCTGACTGCCAGGGGGCACATGCCGAACATGGCAGGCACTGGCTGCGGCGGGATGGTGGAGCGGGTGAGCAGTTGTGCCAGACCAAGATGGGGCGCTGGTCATGCTCATCAGGGTGAGCCTCTGGTGGTTACTGAAAATAATTTGCTGCTGCACGCCCCGGCCCCCTTGCACCCACGGCTGACCCCAATCGCCTCTGAGGACTTCTCCATCTTCCCCTGCTCCTGAAGGGCGATCAGGCCCATCAGCTGCTGCTCGCACCCGCAGCTGGCAATGGCCCCACTTGCACCTGCTGCCAGTGCCACCTGCAGGTGTGAGCAAGGCCGGCGGCGGGAGTGGGACTGCAGCGGGAAGGGCTGGGCAAGGGCACGGAGAATGGGCTGAGACCTGGTCCTGTGCCCACTGCAGCCTCATGGCCCACAGTTCCTTTTAAGGTGCACAGATTTGTGCACTGGGGCCCTAGTATGTACATGAAAAAGTGGTCCAGGTCAATATAATGAAGTATTACCTCACACCTACTAGACTGGCTGCTTTGAATAAATCAGCAGAACAAGTGCTGGTGAGGAGGCAGACAAGAGGGAACTTGGTGCTCTGCTGGTGGGAATGCACATGGTGCAGTCAATGTAGAAAGAGGATGAGTTTCTTCAAAAAATAAAAAACTAAAAATGGAACTGCTGTTTGACCCAGCAATCGTATTTCTGGGAATGCTTCCTAAGAATCCTGAAACATAGGAAAGAATGTATGCACCTCTGTGTTCATCGCAGCAGCATTTACAATAGTTTAAGATCTGGAAGCAGCCCAAGTGCCCACCAGTGGATGAGTGGGTTAAAAAGCTGTGGTGTGTTTACACAATGGAATACGATGGGGCTGCAAAACAGAAAGATCTCTTACCAGCATAGATGGACCTGGAGATGATGATGCTCAGTGAAATAAGCAGTTAAAGGCAAATGTCACATGATCTTGCTTATATGTGGGATCTGATGAACACACTGAGGAAATACATTCTGATGCACGGCACAGTTCGACATCTTAGAATAAGGGTGTGGGTAGAAGTGGGGCAGGGTGGAGGGTCTACAGGGGGGTATGGGAGACATCTGTTATTCTGTCAACAATAACAAATAAATTTAAAATATAAAAATAGTCTCCAGCACACTGCTTCTGACACAGTGATTATAGGCCTGCTCTGACACTCCAGGGAAGCTCCTGGAATAAGATCATTTTTCAGGTGTGTTTTTTGGGGGGAACATCTTCCACTTGTAGTAAAATCTCTTGCCCTGGATGCTCAGTGGATAGAGCATCAGCCTGTGGACTGAAGGGTCCCGGGTTCGATTCTGGTCAAGGGCACATGCCCAGATTGTGGGCGCCACCCCCAGTGGGGTGTGTGCAGGACACAGCCGGTCAATGGTTCTCTAATCATCGATGTTTCTCTCCCCGATTCCCTCACTGAAATCAATAAAAATGTGTGTGTTGTTTAAATCTCTTTCTCCTTTCCCTTAAATGTAAGCACTTAAATTCCTCAGGATTCCATACTTCTTCCTGGGTGCTGCTGTTTTTATATTTTCACACCTGTCTCCTGTAATTTACTGCAACAAAATATTTATTTATAATCTACTGGCTATTCCTTCCACAAAGGCTCTGCACAGCCTGCCTGAGAACACCCTTCCATATTCACTGATGTATAACAAAATGAAGTGAATCTGAAGCAGATAGAATTAGCAAAGTACCCCCCTCCTGCCACCCTCACTCTTAAGCCTGATCCCTCTCTGTAGAGAAACACCGATATCAGCCTCATCGTGTCAAGTGAATCACTTTGTCAATGAACGGTAAGCTGTGAAGTGAGCCTCACACCTGTGTCTGTGTTGGTTGCCTGCTCTGTTGTGTCTCCTCAAACCCCACAGGGAGCCCAGCCAGTTTGGCTCAGTGGATAAGAGCCTTGGCCCATGGACTGAAGGGTCCCAGGTTAGATTCTGTCAAGGGCACATGCCCGGGTTAAGGGCTCGATCCCCAGTGGGGGGCATGCAGGAGGCAGCTGGTCAATGATTCTCATTATTGATGTTTCTATCTCCCTCTCCCTTCCCCTCTGAAATCAATAAAAATATATATTAAAAAGCGAACACCTGACCCTAGCCGGTTTGGCTTTGTGAATAGAGCATCGTCCTGCAGACTGAAAGGTCCCAGGTTCGATTCCGGTCAAGGGCATGTACCTGGGTTGCGGGCACATCCCCAGTAGATGTGCAGGAGGCAGCTGATCGATGTTTCTCTCATCACCGATGTTTCTAACTCTCTCCCTTCCTCTCTGTAAAAAATTAATAAAATATATTAAAAAAAATTTATCTTTGGCCGAGGACCTCAGTTGGTTAGCGTGTCGTCCACATATGCCAAGGTGGTGGGTCAGGGTACACACAAGAACCTCCCAATGATTGCATCAGTGAGTGGAAGATCCCCTGGCTGAGTGGCTCAGGTGGTTGGAGTATCGTCCTGTACACCAAATGTGTTCGGGTTCGATTCCCAGTCAGGGCACATTACCTGGTTTGCAGGTTTGATCCCCAGTTGGGGTACACAGGGAAGTCAACAAAACAATATTTATTCCCCTCCTGTCTCCAAATATCAATAAACATATCCTGGGGTGAGGATTAAAACAACCAAGTTTAACAGCAACAACAAAAACATCAATGTTTCTCTCTCACCCTCTAAAATTAATAACTAAAAATATAGAAATAAGAATTTTCAAAATCCTATAAATCCTATGAGGCCCACCCCCCCAGGTTAAATTAACTTGCTAGAGCCCTTGGTGGCAAACTGACACTGGGTGACGACTTGACCTCAGTTCAGCAGCAAAAAGGGGGGATGATGGAGAAATTGCCTGTAAGCAGACTACACCAAGCTTTAATTACTTTAAATTTTTTCACTTGTGATGCTGATGGCAAGACACCCATGGAAGTACACTGGTGTCAGAATAACTCAAAGGAAAACGGTCTGGTTAAATGGAAAGACCCTGAATCTGGGTTATGGAAGGGCCCCGATCCCCTCTTAACATTCGGCCAAGGGTACGCTTGTGTATTTCCAGAAAATTTCTCCAAGCCCGTGTGGATTCCCGCAAGGAATATTAGACTTCAACATGGATCCTAGGGAGGAACTGGCCAGGTTAATGAGAACCCTGCACCTGGAGCCACGCTTTACAGCTGCAGACAATCAACTAACCCAGCCGCAGATAGCAGCAGCTTCAAACAATCCATTGACTATAAGGAGTGGGAGGAGGACGAGGAGGACAGCAAACAGCCCAGAGGTCACCTGGGGCATGGTGAAGACGACGGTCCAGAAAGCTGAGCGAATTTGTGAGGAGACCAGAACCCCCAGAACGCCTGAGAACGTTTTTCTCGCCATGCTAGCAGTAATCAGCTGTGCAGTAATAGTTCCAGGGGCAAATGGGGAAGTATTCTGGACTTATGTTCCTGACCCACCATGGGTGAGACCCCTTACGTGGGCTGATCCCCCGCCTAATGTAGTCACCAATAACACCAAACGCCTTGGTCACCCAGGAGGACCACGGGTGGGGCAAGGAAGTATATGGGCAAAGTATAATTACACGGGTGTCGCCACCCAGCTTCCCTTTTGTATGACACAGAATCAAACCACTGCTCCTTGGTGTGTAAAATTAAAGAGAGGCTTCTGGCAAGCACGGACACCGAAGGAAGGGGAAGAAAGTGCCCAAATACTATCACTCCTTGCTCCGGGGAGAGGTGCAGAAAACGTAACTGTACTGTCACCCCCCGACTAAGCCATTATGTATAAAGTCTTATGAATGGCACCTCACTGAGGAAGAAATTAATTGGCAAGACTGCTATAGTGACCACCCCACCAGCAGCAATCTTAACAGTTTTTCCTTTGTGGATTGGAGCCCCCACGGCTCTGCATATAGTAACAATCGCACCCTAAAATGGGAGGGGAACACATCTTGTCTATATGTTAAAGCTAATACCCCGTTTTATGGCGTGGAGGAGGATTTGTTGGATCACAATGACAATTGGCCCCTACAAAATACGCAACGGAAATTAGCTGCTGCACTTGCACCTATCAAATGGTATAGTTTTAATTATGGCACAGATAATTCCATTCATACCTTACAGGGCACTCCCAATAAGACAATATTTGCCACCGCCTGTGTGTTTGATTCATTTGTACTCCTCTCAGGCCCCATCCAGATGCACCTTAATGTTACAAGCCATCTGTATGAGGTGTCATGCACAGGCTGCACCCTACCCAATTGCATTAATTCTACATTCCAAACGGACTCGCTTATGATTTTAAAACAACCAGCTTTCGCTTGGGTTCCTACTAACCTCACCAAGCCTTGGGAATCTCATCAAACCTATCAACTGTTACATGATCTGGTAAGAATCCTAAAAAGACAAAAAAGATTTCTTGTAATGTTAATTGCAGGAATCTTTGCCCTCGTAATGTTACTCACTTCTGTGGGCATCGCTGCTTCATCCATGGTACAAACTGTTCAAACTCCTCAGTTTGTGCAACAAGTTAAGGAAAATGTAACTAAGACCTTGTCTATACAAAAGAAAATTGACAGCCAGTTTGAGATTGAATTGTCAGCACTGACGTCTACAGTCCTGTGGATGGGTGATAAAATCCACGGCCTAGAGCTAAGAATATCCTTGCAGCGTCATTATAATTTTTCTCAGATTTGTTACCCCTGCTCCTTATAATAGTACCCTGCACCTTTGGGAATCAGTAAAAAAATCCCCTTCTTGGTGCTTGGGGTAAAGGTAACACAACCCTTGGTAATTTAGAATTACAACAGCATATGGTACAATTATCCCAGGCAAACTTACAGACCAATTCCTTAGATGCCCGGCAACAATTTAAAAAGGACATGAAAGAATTCAACCCCTTCCGTTGGATCTCAGTACATTTGCCCCTCAGCATAACCACTATTGCCTGTCTCATTTTTGTTCTCATATGCTTATTTCGACTGTAACTATGGTAACCACTACCCTGTTTACCTCTGACTATAAAATGGTTGGTGTGGCCTGAGCACCGGTGGAAGTCTTTCCTCTTTAGTTGGACTTACCCGCCTGGCCCCCCAATATTCCCAAATTATCTCTTGTCTTTTCTCTTTCATTTGTGTGCGGCTCCTCTTCCAAGATCCTGAACCCTAAACCACGTGGGACGAGGATGGAACAAACATACAACAACTAACTTTATGCAAAATCTCCCTACTGTTGAGGATGGGATTTATGAGCTGAAAGTCCGATATCTGAAGCCTGAGTTTCTATCAGTATTAACACTGAACAAGGAAACTATAGTTCCTCCACATCTAAAAATTTCATCTAATGTGTAAAAATCCTTCTAATATTTACTGACCTTTAAGACAGCCTCTCTGCTACTGCAATTATCTGCCTAACTAAGGGCTTTATGTTTAACCAAAGCTGAATAAAAGGCTGGCGAGACCTGGACACCAGTGGAGGTCCTTCCCCTTGAGTTCGACTTGCCCGCCTGGCCCCCCAATATTTCCAAATTATCTCGTCTCTTCTATTTCGTTTTTGTGCGGCTCCTCTTCCAGATCCTGAACCCTGAACCACGCAGGACGAGGGGGAACAAACATACAACAACTAACTTTATGCAAAATCTCCCTACTGTTGAGGATGGGATTTATGAGCTGAAAGTCCGATATCTGAAGCCTGAATTTCTTTCAGTATTAACACTGAACAAGGAAACTACAGTTCCTCCACATCTAAAAACTTCCTCTAGCCGAGCTGGTTTGGCTCAGTGGTGCCCACATTCACTGCACTCATACAAACTTTGTCTAGTGTGTAATCTCTGATGATAACAAAAGAGAGATTTCCTCTTAAAAGATTTTCCACATTCATTACACCCATAAGGCCTTTCAGCAGAGTGAAGTCTCCGATGACGACGAAGGCAGGCTATTCTGGTAAAGCACTTTCCACATTCACTACAGTCAAAAGGTTTTTCTCCAGTGTGAACCCTTTGGTGTTCAATGAGGCTGGAACACTGGGTAAAGGTTTTCCCACATTTGCCACACTCATAAGGCTTTTCTCCAGTGTGAGCCCTTTGGTGGTGAATGAGGCTGGAATTCTGGCTGAAGGATTTCCCACATTCACCACACTCATATGGCTTTTCTCCAGTGTGAACTCTCTGGTGTCTAGTGAGGCCAGCACTTTGGCTGAAGGACTTTCCACATTCACCACACTCATAAGGCTTTTCTCCAGAATGAACTCGACAGTGTTGAATAAGGACCCAATGTTCTTTAAAACCTTTTCCACACTCACGGCACTCATATGGCTTTTCCAATGAGGGACCTTTCTGATGACAATTAAGTCCAGAGATTTCTTTAAAATAGTTTTTATTTTCGGTGCCCACAAAACACTGCCTTCCAGTATGGACAGCTTGATCTAGACCAAGTGTGTCGTTGCCTCTCATGGCTTTTTCACAGTCTTTCTTGCTATGGTAGCTTTTTCTGTTTTGAAATGTCACCCCAGACATGGAGGTTTCACTTGGTTTTGTCCTGGGATGAGGAGCCTGGTGTTGGAGTTGTCCGGAGGCAGTAAGGATGCTGTCTCTGACCTTCTGACCGGTAAAAAGCTTCTGGGACACACTGAAGGTGCAGCTCTTCACAAGTGAGGCCCTGTCCACACACTCTGCTCTCATGTGCTGCTTATGGTGCTGGTGGAACTCTGTACTAAAATAAAATGACTCTGCACATGCGCCACACCTCAGCAGTGTCGTACTGTATTGCGTTCCCTGCTGCTCAACCACCTGGAAAATGTCCCTCAAGACTGCAGCACAACATTCACAGGGATGGCTCGTCTGGGAAGACGAAGCTACGTTGGTCTTCTGTGCCTGTGACACTCTCACAGAAACGCTCTGTTCAGTGGATGCCTCCAGATCCTGACTGCCACAGCAGCAACCTGAACAAAAGGAAAGCCTGGTGAATGACATGTTGGTCCTATAACAGCAGAAGGTAATCTGGCCGGGCCGCAGTGGTTCGACCTATGGACCAGGAGGTGAGGATTTGACTCCCAGTCAAGGCACATGCCTGGATTGTGGGCTTAATCCTCTGTCAGGGGCTTGTAGGAGGCAGCCAAACCATGATTCTCTCCCGTCCTGGATGTTTCTCTTTCTCACTCTCTCCCTCTTCCTTCCACTCGGAAATAAATGAAAATATATTTTAAAAAGAAAAAAAAATGGAAATCTCATCATAAATGTCCATCTTTCACACCAAGGCATGATTCTATGGAATGATGTTCAAGACACGTCTTAGAATCTGAGAAAATGGCTTTTGTACATTAAATGGTCCCTAAATGGGGGGAGGGGAGGAATCCACACAGAGAGTAACACTAGAATGATACACAACGAGGAAGGATCTACTAGCTGTTCCTCTGCCAATGGCTTCCTACAGGACATTCCTTGCTCGTCCCATGAGACTTTGTACAAGAATGTGAATGTGGCCCAGCCAGCATGCCTCAGTGGTCGTGTGTTGAGCTATGAACGAGGAAGTAAAGGTTTGATTCCTGGTTCGGGGACATGCAGGGGTTGAGCTATCGATCCTCAATGTGGCACCTGTAGGAGGCAGCCAATCAATGATTCCCACTCATCACTGATGCTTCTATTCATTTTTTTTTTGATGTTTTTGGTTTTTTTGTTCCTTTGTTAATCCTTTCCTGAGGATATTTTTTCCATTGCTTCAGAGAGAGTGCCAGGGAGGGAGGGAGGAAGAGAGAGGAAATAGAAACACAGATGTGAGACACATTGACTGGTGGACTCCTACACGGGATGGGAAATGAGCCCACAACCCAGGTACGTGCCCTTGACCAAGAACTGAAGTCGAGACCTTTGGAGCCCTGGGCCGATGCTCTAACCATTGGGCGACACCAGGTAGGGAGAGCTGTTTTTTGATAAGATGCACAAAATTGGCAAAACATTAGTTAGACTAAAACAGGAGAAACAAGATTCAAGTAAACAAAAACAGAAATGAAAGACATAACACCTGACACCACTTTGAACCACAAAGCATCATGAGTTGTTGGGAGATGACATGACACTACACACAGAAAATTGTTAAGATTCACTATAAACTTCTGAAGTTAATAAGCAAATTCAGAACAGATACAGGACACAAAAATAAGCATACAAACATCACTTCCATTTTTATAGACTAACAACAAAAATTTTTTAAATATATTTTTATTGATTTCAGAGAGGAAGGAAGAGGGAGAGAGAAATAGAAACATCCATGATGAGAGAATCATGGATTGGCTGCCTCCTGCAAGTCCCCCAATCGAGATTGAGCCCACAACCCGGGCATGTGCCCTTGACCGGAATCGAATCTGGGACCTTTCATTTTTTTTTTAAATATATTTTATTGATTTTTTACAGAGAGGCAGGGAGAGAGATATAGAGTCAGAAACATCGATGAGAGAGAAACATCGATCACCCGCCTCCTGCACATCCCCCACTGGGGATGTGCCTGCAGCCCAGGTACATGCCCTTGACCGGAATCGAACCTGGGACCCTTCAGTCCGCAGCCCGATGCTCTATCCACTGATAGGGCACAACACAATTTCTGATAATGAAATGAAGAAGGCAGACAAATTTACAACAGCATCAAAAACAATAGAACACTCAGAAATAAATTCAAACAAAAAGTTGAAAGTTCTGTACACTGAACACTATAAGACAGTGATGACAGAAACGGAAGAAAACACAACTAAATGGAAACAAATCCTGTATTCTTGGCTATGAAGACTCAGTATTGAAATGTCTGGCCTACATAAAACAATCTACAGATTAAATGGAATCTCAATCACAATTCCAATGGTCTTTTACACGGAAGATTAAAAAAGAATCATGAGCCCTAACTGGTTTGGCTCAGTGGATAGAGCGTCAGCCTGCAGACTGAAGGGTCCCGGGTTTGATTCCGGTCAAGGGCACATGCCTGGGTTACAGTGGGGGGAGGAGTGGGGCGTGCAGAAGGCAGTAATCAATGATTCTCTCTCATCATTGATGTTTCTATCTCTCTCTCTCCCTCTTCCTTCCTCTCCAAAATCAATAAAAATATATTTTTTAAGAAAATGCTTTTCCTCACTAATCAAGGTGAAATCTGTTAGGATCCTTGCAGGTCTACTAACCTCAAATCCTTCCCATTGAGGGTTGAGTACAGTAGGGATTGGGGCTGCAGTCAGAAAAAAGGGGAGTGCCAATAACCAAGCCCAACCAGACACAGCCACTGCCCGGAGTGGGGCTCACAGCACACAAGTGAGAACCAAGCACGCTTTCATGAAAGGCGGAGGAGGAAATGTGAAGGCAAGTCCAGGTCCCTAGGGAGAGGGGGGGTCTTTTTTTGTTGTCAAAGTGAAAGTTTGTTAAACTTTAGGACAAGGAGAAAAAAAGAAGGAACCTTAAAAACAGATCAGGAGCCCCAACCAGTTTGGTCTGTGGAATGACAGGTCCCTGGTTCGATTCCGGTCAAGGGCATGTACCTGGGTTGCGGGCACATCCCCAGTAGGGGGTGTGGAGGAGGCAGCTGATCGATGTTTCTCTCTCATCAATGTTTCTAACTCTCTATCTCTCTCCCTTCCTCTCTGTAAAAAATCAATAAAACATATTGAAAAAATCAATTAAAAATATATTTTAAAAAAAGAACAGATCAGGGGTTAGCCAAAGGGTAGTTGCCGCTGTCCGTAGCTGCCTGGGGGCAAGTCTCCTCAAAACCCTCAGAGCTTCAAACAGAAGAAACAAAGTATAATCCTGAGTTAAGGGGGTGCAGGTGAGTTCAAAGAAGGAACCAGGAGAGTGAAGGTCTTACCCTGTGAGGATACGAGAGCAAAATTCTCCAGCATCACCTCGAGGTAGAGGCCTCTCTGGGCCTCATCAAGGAGGCGCCATTCTGTCCTGCAGAAATACACGGCGACATCCTCAAAGGCCACACCGACCTGTCGGAATGAATACAACTGAGTCAGGAACAGCCTGTCGGAGAACCCACAATCCTCCTCTTCCCCACAACCCGCCACCTCCAGGGCCTGCAGTTCTGAGAAGACACCCAGCCCTGGTGCCAGTGCTGCCTGCTCTGTCATCACAGTCCCATTAACCACTCTTATCACCCTCACAACAACCGGGAGGACAAGGAGAAGGGGAGGGGATGGGGGCAGGTAAATGCCACCTCAGCTCCGGGCCCTGCCGGAAGGGCTCCATCATTACTGCCCCACAAATCCACGGGGATGTCCCAGATCATTCCTGCAGGACGCGGCAAAACATGGGCTGTGCGTCACCCTTAGATCCACACTCCAGCTCTAGCTGGTGTGGCTCAGTGGATAGAGTGTCAGCCTGTGGACTGAAGGGTCCCAGGTTCGATTCCGGCCAAGGGCACGTGCCTGGGTTGCAGGCTATATCCCCAGTAGGGGGTGTGCAGGAGGCAGCCGATCAATGATTCTCTCTCATCATTGATGTTTCTCTCTCTCTCTCTCCTTCTCCCTTCCTCTCTGAAATCAATAAAGAAATATATATATTTTAAAATAAATCCACACACCAGGTACCCAGGATCATCAGCTCAAACATCCTCTTGTCTGCACACCACGGTGTCACCTCTAGCTGCTTCACATCTTCACACCCCAGGTTCCCTCCCTCAGCGCTGCCTCCTTTGTCCTGGTGCACAAAAGAGCTACGACTCCTTAAAAATTTTCTTTATTGATTGAATTATTACATACTAGAGACCTGGTGCAAAAAATTTGTGCACTGCAGGGCAGGTGGGGGCGGTCCCTCAGCCTGGCTTGTACCCTCGCAGTCTGGAGGTGGGAGAGGCTGCCGCCAACACCACTGCACTCGCCAGCTATGAGCCCGGCTCAGGGCTTCTGGCTGAGCAGCACTCCCTCTGCAGGAGTGCACTGACCACCAGAGGCAGCTCCTGCGTTGACGGTCTGCCCCCTGGTGGTCAGTACGTATCATAGTGACCGGTCATTCTGCTGTCTGGTCAATTTGCATTTTAGCCTTTTATTATATAGGATGTGTCCTTATCCCCACATTACCTCCCCCCAAACCCCCACTCATGCCCTCACCCCTCTGTGGTCTGTGTCCATTGGTTAGGCCTGTAAGCATGCACCTAAGTCCTTTGGTTGACCTCTCCCCCAATAGCTACCACTTTTTTAAAAAATTTCTTGATTGATTGAGTTATTACATATGTGGCCCTAACCTGTTTGGCTCAGTGGATGGAGCCTCAGTCTGCGGACTGAAGGGTCCCGGGTTCAATTCCGGTCAAGGGCATGGACCTTGGTTGCGGGCACATCCCCAGTAGGAGGTGTGCAGGAGGCAGCTGATTGATGTTTCTCTCTCATCGATGTTTCTAACTCTATCCCTCTCCCTTCCTCTCTGTTAAAAATCAATAAAATATATTTTTAAAAAATCATGACATATGTGACCTTATCCCCACGCATGCCCCCTCCCCCCGTGTCTGTGTCCATTGGTCAGGCCTAGCTGCATATATACAAGTCTTTTGGTTGACCTCCCTCTTATTTTTCAAATATATCTTATTGATTTTTTACAGAGAAGGAGAGGGATAGAGAGTTAGAAACATCGATGGGAGAGAAACATCCATCAGCCGCCTCCTGCACACTCCCTCCTGGGGATGTGCCCGCAACCAAGGTGCATGCCCCTGACCGGACTCGAACCCGGGATCCTTCAGTCTGTAGGCCGACGCTCTACCCACTGAGCAACACCGCCCAGGGCAGGAGCTCCCACATTTGCAAGTCTCCCTCCCCGGCCTCCCTCCCCGATTTCAGCCCCACACGTGCAGCCGCTCGCGGGCTGTTCCCACTCAGTGTTCCCCGGGGAACCCTCAGCCCCGCCCCCTCCCACCCCGGTGTCACCCACGGGCGCCTCGCGGTCCTGACGC